GGTGGAAGGAATAGTCTGATCCCTCCAGCTGCTTTCCCCATCTGGCACTTGCTTGACCTCAACTCCCATCCTCCACGGCCTGATGGGCTTTCGTGGAAGGAATAGTCTGATCCCTCCAGCTGCTTTCCCCATCTGGCGCTTGCTTGACCACTGCTCCCATCCTCCACAGCCTGATGGGCTTTCGTGGAAGGAATAGTCTGATCCGTCCAGCTGCTTTCCCCATCTGGCGCTTGCTTGACCACAGCTCCCATCCTCCACAGCCTGATGGGCTTTCGTGGAAAGAATAGTCTGATCCCTCCAGCTGCTTTCCCTATCTGGCGCTTGCTGGACCTCAACTCCCATCCTCCACAGCCTGATGGGCTTTCTGGGTGGAGGAGTCTTGTCCATCCAGCTGGGGAAAGGCTGGAGTGGGCTCCTTGGTGCATTCTAAGCTGTGCTTTGCTGGGTTCAGTTTACCCAGCCGAGTCCCTTATGCGAGACCTGCCCAGTTTGCCTTCATGATATGACTCATGGGGTAATAAAACCTCTATACAGGGAGTCCTCGATTTACAACAATTCATTTAGTGACCGTTCCAAGTTACAACAGCACTGAGGTTTAACAACGGTGATTGCGTGTTTTGCTGATTGTCGGAGCTACCGGCCCGCCCGAAACGGCTGAATCCCACCCCTACTTGTGGCCATTTTTCACACTTACGACGGTTGTAGCACCCCCATGGTCATATGATTTACATTCAGACAGTTGACAACTGACTCACATTTACGATGGTCGCAGTGTCCCGGGGGTGGGTGGGGTGGGGGGTCACGTGATCCTCCTTTACTGACAAGCAAAGTCAATGGGGGAAGCCGGATTCGCTTAACAACCGGGTGACTCACTTAACAACCACAGTGGTTCACTTAACAAAGGTGATGAGAAAAGTAGTCAAATGGGGCAGAAGAACTCCCTTCCCAAATTTCTCCCTGAGCAACGTAGTGTGGTCGTAAGTTGAGGACTCGCTGAATATCGTTTGTGTACTTGGTTCTCGGTTTTATCTAATTTTGTTAATTTTCGTGTTAGCATTTTCTTGTATTGTAAAGCAGGAAAGGCCTTAATAACAACTGCAGTGATTCCCTTAACAACTGCGGCGAGAAAGGTCGTAAAATGAGGGCAAAATTCACTGAAGAAATGTCCCTCTTAGCAACAGAAATCTTGACTTCGGTTGTGGTTGTAAATCGAGGACTAGCCGTATAGAAAACGTTGCCCTAGGTAACAGGGCAGGCATTTAGCCGATAAACACACATTTAGCTTAAAGACCCACAAAACAAGAACAGCTCCAGCTTTTAAAAGGTGTGGACTGAATTTCAAAACCTCACATAATTCAGCTAGTCACACCCGCATACCAAACACACATAACAATCACACACCCTGCAGGCAGTAACCTTTGTATCCAAAAGACACACTTTTATTCTGTGAACCAAAGACCGCGTCCAGATTTACAAGGTGGTAGTAAGGATTTTGACCTCGGATTGCAAGGAAATAATTAATTCGGGAGTGTAAGAGGTCAAAACTATCTTTGCAAACACGCAGGAAAACACGTGAATACTCCAACAGTGGCAGCTTTTAAGAAGAGATTGGACAACCATTTGTCTGAAATGGCCTAGGGTCTCCTGCCTGAGCAGGGGGTTGGACTAGAAGACCTNGAAAGGAAAGGAAAGGGAGGAGAGGCAAGGGATGGGATGGGAAAGGAAAGGGGAAGGGAAAGAAAGGAAAAGAAAGGAGGATGGGGAAGAGGGGAGGGGAGAGAAGGAGGATGGGGAAGGGAGGGGGAAAGGGAAAGGAAAGGAAAGGGGAAAGGAGGGGAAGGGAGTGGAGGAGAGGGAAGGGAAGGAGGATGGGGAAGGGAAGGAAAAAGGAAGGGAAGGGAAAAGAAAGAGAAAAGGAGAGGGGAAAGGAGGGGGAGGGGAAGAGGAAGGGAAGGGAGGAAAAGAAACGGGAGGGTGGGAAAGAAAGGGAGAGGGAAAGGGGAGGGGAGAGGAAAGGAAAATGAAGGGTGGAAAAGGGAAGGGGAGGAAAGGGATAAGAACTTCTGAGTGGCTTAAAAGCACCAGGCTCCCCAACTGGGAGACCCTGAGTTCGAGTCCCACCTGCGGCACAAATTCAGCCAGGGGTCTTCTGGGCCAGTCAGCTGCAGAAGCAGGGCAAGGACGATGGAACCCCTGCAAATCTTGCACAGGTTTGTCCAAGCAGTTGCACACCCACAGGGGGACGCACAGAGGAGGGAGGGGCGGGATCTTGGGAACCCTAAGCGGGGAAGATCCCAGGGCCTCCTTCAAGGTCCAATGCAGGAGGAGAGCCCTGTTGGTTCCCTCCCCTTCCCGGTGTCCGAGACCCCCATGTCCGATTCAAGCAGGTGATGGGAGGCGGCAGGCGCATCGGGGAGTTTGTTTCTGCCTTGGGAAACGCCCGGGTCGCCCTTCTCGCCCAGCCTGGCTCGCTTTCCCCGGAGGCGCAAGGCGCAGGGTGCAGGGCGGGGTAGGGTGGGGAAAACCGGCGCGCCCACCACTCACCTTCCACCGCCGCCTCTCCCCCCGGGGGCAGCCGCGGCCGGCAACCGTCGCCCGTGGCCGCCGCTTCCATCCGGGGCCGCTTCCTCTCGCCGAGCCCGTCCCTACCCGGGAGGAGTCAGATGACGGCGGGCTCGCGGAGGATGGGAAGCAGGCAAGCCCGAGCCGGCGCGCAGCCCAGGGACGGGGAGGAGAAGAGGAGGAGGAGGAGGAGGAGGCGCGCTCCGCCCCTGCGCCACTTTTTGCGCCCTGGGCGCACGGCGGATGGCGAAGGGGAGCTGGTGGAGGGGCTGCAAGTGATTTACTCGGGAGAAAGTTGCCTGGCCCGAACTCCTTTCCCTCCAGCTGCTTTCCCCATCTGGCGCTTGCTGGACCTCAACTCCCATCCTCCACAGCCTGATGGGCTTTCGTGGAAGGAATAGTTTGATCCGTCCAGCTGCTTTCCCCATCTGGCGCTTGCTGGACCGCAGCTCCCATCCTCCACAGCCTGATGGGCTTTCGTGGAAGGAATAGCCTGATCCGTCCAGCTGCTTTCCCCATCTGGCGCTTGCTTGACCGCAGCTCCCATCCTCCACGGCCTGATGGGCTTTCGTGGAAGGAATAGTCTGATCCCTCCAGCTGCTTTCCCCATCTGGCACTTGCTTGACCTCACCTCCCATCCTCCACGGCCTGATGGGCTTTCGTGGAAGGTATAGCCTGATCCGTCCAGCTGCTTTCCCCATCTGGCACTTGCTGGACCGCAGCTCCCATCCTCTACAGACTGATGGGCTTTCGTGGAAGGTAT